GGATAATATCTATATGCCTACAAGGAAATCCAGTTAATAAAACTGTTATTCAGATTTATACAACAATCACTAAACCCAAAGATGAAGAAACTGAAGAATTCTGCCAACTTCTACAAACTGATATTGGTCAAAGAGGCAATTAAGATGCCTTGATAATTATTGGTGACTGGAATGTGGATGTTGGAAACGAAGTGAAAGGATAATTATCCTGAGTGATAAAAGGGGCTAGAGACCTCTGGGGACTCCCTCTGACCACAGTTAGGTTAAAATGTCGTACCGTATTTGATCTCCTTTTTGACTCATTTTAAAATGGTTGGTTTTTTAAGTGAAGGGGAAATAGCTGTGGACTAAGCCTCCAGTGACCCCTGTGGCCACAGACCAGGGATGTGACTAGCAGAGCACAACGGAAAGTGGGTGGTTGCAGAACCAGTTGGTTCACATCGAAGACCTTATCATTTGATCTCCCTTTTGACTCATTTTTAATTTATTCTGGTTTTAATACTTCCTGCTTCTTTCAATTTAGGTGTTTCTGGTGTTTTTTGTAATTGTTGTTTCCTTTTTTTCCTGTAATATATGAAATTCGGGATAGGTAAATTTATAGAAACTAACAGGATTAATGGCTTATTGAGGGCTGGCGGGGAAGTTGGAGGAACATGGGGAGCTGATAACAGTGAGTCCCAGAAGGAAGAATATGTTCTATAACTGACTGTAGTGATGATTGTCCAACTCTTTTTAATAGGAGCGAATTATTGAAGTGTATGATGTGTGAATGATGTGTCAATAAAATGATGGAAAGTCTACAGATATCATTTCAAAGCGACAAAATAAAATAGCATCTCTAAAATGTGCTCTTGTTAAAATGAAACAGGTTGATTTAAAACAAACCCAAACACCCTAGAGATGTTGGAAGAGTTTTGGAAGGTCAATGACTTACTCATTGCAAATATCTTTTTCCCCCCAAGAATATACATGATGACTATGAAATGCACCCACCACTTGTTGGTCAGTTTGTCATACTGTGGTGGCTTGTGTGTTTCTGTGATACTGAAAGCCATGTCAATGGAATTTCAAATGCCAGCAGGGTCACCCACACTGAAGAAGGTTCAGTAGAGCTTCCAGACTAAGAATAGACTTTGAAGAAGAAATGGTCCATCCACTTCTAAGGAGTTAGCCATGGAAAACCCTATGGACAAAATCAAAACATTTTAAATACTGAAAACCTCAGGAACAGACGCAGAACATTGTCAGAGATAGTGTCAGAATATGAGCCCCTCAGATCAGAAGGTTCTCAAAATATGACTAAGCCGCATTCTCAAAGTCGAGGTGACCATAGCGATGTGACGGAGTAAAGCCTCTGGGACCGTCGTTTTCTGATAAGACCTGACTCAGAACAAGAAGGAACAGCTGTAATTAATCATTGGATGTTGAATGTCCAAAAAATAAATCTAAGAACACTGGAAGTTGTGAAAAATGAAACTGGACGTATAAAAATCAACATTCAAGGCATTACTGAGCTGAAAGGGTCTGGTATTGGCTCACTGTGCTGGGTGAAACAAGCAAGAGGAGTGTTACTGCCCTCATCACCAAAAGGGAAGTTCAAAATCTGTCTTGGAGTACAATGCTGTCTGTGGAACAGAGCATCAGTTACTCCTCCGCAAGTTCCGGTGGAAGCTGAAGAAAATGAAAAGCCCACAGGATCAAAATGATGCCCTCACTATATTCTACCTGAATCCGGAGACCGTATCAAGAGCAGATTTAACGCACTTAATGACTGAAGACCAGATCAGCTGTGGGATGATATCGAGAACATCACACATAAAGATAAAGACAAAGAATATCGAATATACCGTGCACTTACAGAAGCACAAACAAAACTGTCCTGAAGTCCAGAATGCTCCTTGGAATACTTCATCTCATGTATTTTGGACATGTTATCAAGAGATAAAAGCATGATGTAAAAAGACATCGTGCTTGATAAGGTGCAGGATCGGTGAAAAAGAGGAAGACCTCTAAGGAGATAAGTTGATAGACTATCTGCAACAATGCGCTCAAACATAGTGACCATTGTGAGAATGGTAAAGAATTGGATAAGAGTGTCTTTCTGTTGTACATAGGACTGCTATTAATTGGAACCTACTCAACAGCCCCGAACAGCAATGATTATATTCTTAGTGCTCCTATTGGCACAGCAGCTAAATGCTCAGCTGCTAACCCAAAGCCCCACCGTCTGCTCGGTTGGCGAAACATCTGAGAATATGCTCATGTTCAGGTTTGTAACCATGGAAGCCTTCTGAGGCAGTTCTCCTCTATGGTGTACGGTCGCTACGAGTCAGAATCGACTCAATGGCAGTGATTTTAGGCATGATCTTATTTAAGGAGCCCTGGTGGCACAGTGGTTACAGAATGTCACTGCCAACTGAAAAGTCAGTGGTTATGTTGAGTAGGCTAGCGTAGGGCTGGGACGTCCATTTAATGCATGCCCAGTGGTCCAAGCTATGGAAATAAAGGAGTGGCACACTGCACATGCTCCGAGGTTCAGGGTTCCCGCCCTGGGTAGGCATGGAAGGGCGCTGCACCTGGATTGGCCCACCTAGGCCAGGTGAATTCAATTCAGCCAATGGGGTCGGCCAGGGGGTCGCCCACCATGCCTCCTCACTGAATCATTGAAAAGGCAGGAGCCCGGGGTGGACCAAGAGAGACTTTGCGCTTATCTCTTTTTAAAAATATATTTCTTTATCTCCAGGAAATTTTACATTATTCCTTACCTCATTGAAAACAGCAATCAAGATCCCCTTTCATTAATAAGGGAGAAAGATGATGCTTCCTACTCCCATAAAGAGTTACAATCTCCTGTCCTATAGGGTCGCTCTGAGTCAGAGCCAACGCGATGGTAGTGAGTGTGAGGTTGTCATTAATAAAGACTGGAAAAGATACTGCTCTAGTTCCTAACTTCCCGTTAGAATGGAGATAACTCCAAGTTTCTGACTCTCCTAAAACCATCCTGTCCATTCCACCTCTTCCCTCAGAATGTTAGCCCAATTATAACGTGTTTCACGCTCAAAAGCATTTCTTGATCATCACATTCTTATCAGGAAACTGCTTAAGGTTTCGAGCTAGGTAACTTGCCTGGGCTTGTCCTTAATGGCTTAGCAAAAACAGGTCTCGTTTGAGGTAGAATGTAGTGTTCTAGTGACTACGACTCAGAGTTTCACAGTCTTGAGACAGAGAGCCCCAGGCAGAGCGAGGAAAAGAGGTCCAGCAAGAAGCGCTGGGAGCGTCATCTCAAACCAGGAGACACCAGGCCTCCAATCTGATTTTAAATTCCAAAGTCAGCCAACTCGGGACTCTTTTTTGCTGACCCAATTGCCTGCTTACTTCCTTGTGCAAACTCATGCAAGATCACAAGGTGGCCAGAGCATGAGCAGGTCCGTGATTGGACCTGAGGAATGTGACCAGACCCGGATTGGTCCATTCATAAGCTGGAGACACAGACAGGCCAATATCCCACATCAGATAAAGACAGAGCTCTTTCGGCAGCAACTCACTAGAGACCCCAGCCACTGCCTTGTTGGGGGGTGGGGGGTGGGGGTTTCTTTCCTTTCTAAATAGACTTTGCTTTCTGCTTGCTCTTTGTGGTCTGAGCCTCTTCCATTCACAAGACCAAGAACCCCTGGACTCATCAAAGTAGGGGTAACAGAGCCAAGTGATCCAAAGGCCAGAACCACTACTGTAAGCGTTTTAAATCTGCAATTGTGTGTGTCACAATGGGGTCCTTCCTTGGCTTCTCTTGTCCCGCCTGTAAAAGTGATGTTAACTTGCCACCCATCATGATTTTGTAATGATTTGTTGTTTCAATCATATATAATTAGCCCCGTGACTTTGAGTAAATGAAAATCCATTGACTTTAGGCTTACAGTTTCCCTTATGGGGGTGATTTATCTTTGTTTTGCCTTTGCCCTGTTTGAAGCTTAATATAAAGATCTCTAAAGAATATATATGATTTAAAAAAGAAAAAAATGATGTGAATAACAATGAGTACAAGAAAGAATGTGTATTAGAACTGAATGTAGTGATAATGGTACAACTCTTCTTGATTTGACTGAATTATAGAAATGTATGACATGGAGATGAAATCTTAATAAAACTTAAAAAAAAGAATATATATGATTTGGAACATTTTTCCCCTTAGCACATAATTAAGGTAGGTTTTTCTATATATGTCTTACACACACACATATAATGAGACATCTCAGCATTTGCTTCTATATATTGAAATGCCAAAAAATAAGTTAAAGGGCTGAAAATGTTGAGTCTGCACTGTGCCAGGCACTGTTTTAAGTGTGTGGGATATATCAGTTAGCAAAATAAACAAGTATTACCTCCTTATGGAGCTTATATTCTACCAAGGAATGACAATCAACAAGCACATTATCTGGTAGATTAAAAGAATATAGGATCAAAGAACTTTCAGGTAAGGAAGGGTAGATAGATGGTGACCACAGGGATAGGGGAACAAAGGAAGGAATTGCCAGCTCAGAGGGAGGTGAAGGGCCCACAGACTCACTTCCTTATCCATAGTTGTCAAATAGAAGGAATTCCCAACAGTGGGAGGATGAGGCAGTAAATGAATGTGGAACGAGACATGCAGGATATGAGCACAGGACCCATGCATGGATGGGTTGACCCCATTCATCTGAAAGGATGGCGGAGGAGAACACAGTGTTGGTTTGGGGGACACAAAAATGACAGGCATGAATTTTGGGTGCATGTGCACTATCCGTAAAGGGGAGGTACACTATGAAAAGTCAGCTAATAGTGGAAGGTTTGCTGAAAAAACAGCCAATAATAGAAGGTCCATCATTAGCTGTTAACAAAACCTTGAATTTCCATCCAGAGGGGTTCTCAGACCTGCTGAGATACCTGTCTGTACTGCAGTGCTGAAAGAAACTCTGTACCTTTTTCCTATATCTCCTGTCGGAACACTTTCTTGAGAGTATGACATGAGGAGCTCGGAGAGGAGGGTCCTGAAACTTCCAATCCTTCCTGGTAATAACAGGAAAGACATCGAGAGGTAAGGTTGGTACATTTTTAATTTTAAAAAGAAGCTACTAGTGTGATGGTGGGGCAGGGGGAAGGTAAAAGGAAACAGGAATGATCTAGGAAGCAAAGCTACAGATAAAGGTATAAACCTAGGTGCGTACATATGTAAATACATTAATTCATAAAAATAGAAGGTATTGGCCTATGTACATATGTTTATATAGTAATACATTGAGGTAGTAGATGGATTTTGGGCTTCTGGTCACACCCTCTCCTGACACAAGAACACTTTGTTCTAACAAACTGGCATTCTGTGATGCTCACCCTCCCAGCACAATTGCTGAAGACAAAATGGGTGCATAAACAAATGTGGTGAAGAAAGTAGATGGTGCCCAGCTATCAAAAGATATAGCATCTGGGGTCTTAAAGGCTTGAAGTTAAACAAGCAGCCATCTAGCAGAGAAGCAACAAGCCCACATGGAAAAAGCACATCAGCCAGTGTGATCATGAGGTGTCCTTAGGACTGGGTAACAGGCATCAGAAGACGTATAACAAACAAACAAGCAAAATCATATTGTTGAGAATGAGGGGGGTCGGAGCAGAGACCCAAAGTCCATCTGTAGACTATGAGACATCCTCCCACAGAGGGATCACAGGGAAGGGATGAGTCAACCAGGGGGTAGTAAAGCACTGATGAAACACACAATATTCCTCTGGTTCCTTGACACTTCCTCACCCTTCACTATCATGAACCCAGTGCTGCCTTTCACTTCGGACTAGGCCAGAGCATAAATACAGGTAAAGAGATAAGAGCTCACAACACATGGAATCCAGGAACAGGTATGGGAATAGCAATACCAGAGAGGAGGGGAGGAAAGGGGAACCGATCACAATGATCGACACATAACCACCACCACCGCCCCATGGGGACAAACAACGGAAACTATGGGGGAAGGGAGACAGCAATTGGTGTAAGATATGAAAATAATAATCATTTATAATTTATCAAGTGGTCACGAGGGTGGGGGGAGAGGGAAAAAAGAGGAGCTGATGCCATGTGCTCAATAGAAAGTAAATGTCTAGAAAAAACTGATGGCAACATATGTAAAAAAATGCTTAATACAATTGATGTATGAATTGTTACAAGAGTTGTAAGAGCCCCCAATAAAATGATCTTTTAATAAAAAAAAAGAAAGAAATCAACCAAGCTAAAAGATAAGCTTTCAAAGATTGTATAATAAACAGATATAAACATATTAATATTCCATAGTACTGAATAATTACCAACTTGGGTAATGCTGAAAAAGCCTACTAAAACATCCAAGTAATTGTTAGAAACTACTGTATAAAATTTATGCTTAAAAAATGTTAATCCACACTGTCAAGTCAATTCCTACTCATAGCAAGCCTATTGGATGCAGAATGAAACACTGCCCACTTAGACCTGTGCCTCCCTCACAATTGTCATGCTCGACCTCACTGTGACAGACGCTGTGTCAATCCATTTACCAGGGAGTTTCTTCTTTACCAAGTGTACTGTCTCTCCCAAGAACACGTCGATAGTGCCTGGGACAAAGTAGCCCAATACTTGGAGTGTTCTTCTTCCAACACTGATTTGATTGTTCTTCTTACCATCAACGATGCTTTCAATTTCAGTACATGTGCCACCGAAGCAAGCACCACCCATGATGCTTTCGATATTTTATTCCAACACCATAATGCAATTGCATCAATTCTTTTGTGGTCTTCCTTATTCATTGTCCAACTTCACCAGGCGTATAAAGTAATTGAAAAATACCATGGTGCAGGGGAGGTTTGGGCAAATGGGGAGGTAACAGTAATGAGTACAAGAAGAACATGCTCTGAAATGGATTGTGGTGACTATTGCAGTACACATCTTAATAGGACTGAATTATTAAATTGTATGATATGTGAATTATATGCCAATAAAACTAGTTTTAAAAAGAGGCAGTGGGTTTGGTTTGGATTTCATTCAGTGCAGAGTGCAAAGGTGCTGCATGGGTCGGAGAGAGAAGTGCTAGTACTAGACTTCACTTGGAGGGGGGAAATACAGTGCAGGAGAGAGCGATGCATGGAGAGCTCTTCCATCAGCAAACCAAAATGCAGACGCAATGCGTGTGTGCAGATTCCAACGGTGTCTGGTGTGATGGTGGCCCCTGTGGACATTCTCTTGGAACTGCCTTCAGATTTACAGTGATATGGAAGAAGCACACCAGCCTGTCTGACCATGAGGTGTAGAAGGGACCAGTCATCAGACATCAAAGAACTAAAAATCTTATCAGTGGATGCCCACCTTCCTGATATGATCACTGAAGACAAATGTGTGCATAAGCAAATGTGAAGAAAGCTGATGGTGCCCGGCTATCAAAAGATATAGCGTCTGGGGTCTTAAAGGTTTGAAGGTAAACAAGCGGCCATCTAGCTCAGAAGCAACAAAGCCCACATGGGCTTGAGCCCACTGTTGCAGCCACAGTGTTAATTCCTCTCCTTGAAGGCCCCTTTCTGTACAACTGCCCTCTACTTTACCTAACATCACGTCCTTCTCCGGGGACTAATGCCTCCTGACGAGTCAGAGTATGCACGACAAACAAGCCTTACCGTTCTCGCCTCGAAGGAGCACTCTGGCCATGCTTCTTCCAAGACAGGTCCATTTGTCCTTTTAGCAGTCCAGGCTACTTTCAACATTCTTTTCCATCACCATAGTCGAAATGCATCAATGCTTCGGGTTTCCTTATTGAATGTCCAACTTTCCAATGTGTATCAAACAACTGAAAATACCAGTTTGGGGTGGGGATGGGGGGCATCATCATAGTTTGGCATGGCAGGTACTCAATAGACAACATCTCCTTCCCCTTCCTTGACCATTTGGTCCCAGATGACATGAGGTGCCTTCCGGCAAAGTGACCTTCAAAATACTTACCTAGAGTGGATAGTGTATGGTTCATTGGCACCGGTCGGGTTCTCTACCAGGCTGTCTGGCCCCATATGGAAGAAGCACACCAACATCAGTCATGGAAGGACTGTAAATCATATAATCCAAAGTAAAGAAGGGAATGTATCAGCCTGAATTGTGAGAATCTGGTGACAGAAGGCCATGGATGACAGGGGGAGCCCAAGACACATATGTGGGATGTACATAGGAACTAAGCTTCCGGTGGTCTTCCTCTGTCCATAATAGAGGGGTGGGGGGAAAGTGGGTACAAACAGAGTGCAGTGGAGAGAGGAGTACAGAACAGCAGATCTCACCTTTGGGGGTCGAATGACCCTTTCTCAGGGGTTGCCCGATTCATAACAGTAGCAAAATTACAGTGATGAAGTAGCAACGAAAATAATTTTACGGCTGGGGGTGGGGTCACCACGACCTGAGGAGCTGTATGAAAGGGTCGCGGCATTCGGGAGGTTGAGAACCACTGGCATAGGAGATCAAAGGGATAACCCTGACTTGAATGGTTAAAATCGTGTTTGTTGATCCCACCTTTGATGCAAGTTAGGCCTGATCTGGTTTAAAACATTTTCTGTTTTTTATTTGTCCATTAAGGGGTGTATCTCAGATATGTTATGTCGCTGGGCATCACCCTCTTGAATTTGTGTTATATTGTTTCTGTTTTTCAATATATGAAACCAAGTATTGATGAACCCATAGGGACAGCAAGTAAACTAAGGGTTTCTGGGGTGGGGTGGGGGTACAGTGGTGGTGAGCTTGGTGGTGGTTTAAAAGGCAGCCGAGGTCAAGGGGTCTAGGAAGGAAAAGAATGTTTGGAAACGGATTGTGGTATCAATTGTACAATATTGCTTGATATGATTGCACTATGGGATGATATGACATATGCATTAGCTCCCAATTTAAAAAAGGAAGAATGAAAGAAAAATGCCATGGCTTTGGTCAGACACAGCTAGTTCTCAAAGTAACCTCCTTGCTTTTCAAGATTCTAAAGAGGTCTTGTACAGCAGATGTACCTAAGCCGATGCTTCTTTACTGCTCCTTCCATGAGCATGGACTGTGGAGCCAGCAAGACAATATCCTTGACAACCTTTCTTATGGGAAAAATTGTGTTTGGCCCGGTTGTGAGGATTTTGGCCTTCTTTTCATTGCGTTGTAATCCATACTGAAGGCTACAATTCTGGATGTTCATCCGCAGGTGCTTCAAGTCTTCCTCGCTTTCAGCAAGCAAGTTTCTGTCATCTGCATATTGTTAATTGTTAGTAAGCCTTTGTCTAATCCTGATACCTCATTCTTCTTCATATCATCCAGTTTCTCTGATGATTTGCTCAGCTTGCAGATTGGTGAGAGGATACACCTCCAAAGCACACTTTCCCTGGTTTTAAACCATGCAGTATTCCCTTGTTCTGTTTGCACAACCACCTCTTGATCCATGTCCAGGTTCTGCATGAGCACAATGGAGTGTTCTGGAACTCCCATTCTTCTCAAGGTTATTTGTCCATAGTTTGTTAGGCTGCACACCGTCAAATGCCTGTGTCAATAAAACACAAATAAGTATCTTTCTGGTATTCTCTGCCCTGAGCCTGCATTGACACCAGCAATGACATCTCTTGTTCCCCTTCCTCTTCGGAATCTGGCCTAAACCTCTGGCAGCTCCCTGTCAATGTACTGATGCTATCGTGGTTAGATGAGCTTTAGAACAATTTTATTTGCATGAGATATCAATGGTATCATTATCAATGATATTCTATAATTTGAGCATTTTTTTTGAGTCACCTTTCTTTGGAGTGGGTAGAATATGGCTCTCTTCCAGCCCCCTGGCAAAGTCTTCCAAAGGTCCTGCCATAGACTAGTGAGTGGCTCCTGTCCATCAGCTTGTTGAAACATTTCCTTTGGTATTGCATCAATTCATGCAGTTTGAATTTCTTCCTTCAGCAAAATTGGTTCTTGCTCCTTCCTGAAATGGTAGAATGTCAATCGTCCTTTTTGGTACAGTGGCTCTAGTTTTCTTTCCATCTTATTTTGATGCTTCCTGAATCATTCAATATCTGGCCATAGAATCTTTTAAT